AAATTATCACTGTGTCATTCCTACTGAAAGGTCAGCTCCTATATTGTTTCTTCCGAGAGCAATAAGATTTAAGACATCTAGATCTCTGGGGATGAGAATTTATGCAAGCTTTGAGTTCCTTCTCCTTAACTCAAGTTTTCATTTCAACATTTGTTAAAACATACATTCAGTGGAATTATATCAAATTAAATATTAAAATCTTGTCATGAGGGAATGGGGGCTAAGTGATAGCAGACACTCCTGAGTGAACCCCTGAATAACTACATCTGTTTCTTCACAGGCCTTGGAAATAATCCTTTAAACATAGCCCCCAAAACCAGCCAAATCAGCCCCAGATTATCTTCAGCTTTAATGTCTGACCAGGCTCACAGCTCTCCGTAAAATGTGAGTCTAGATATGTGCCATGTCATTTTAAAAATAAGGGAATTCTCAAGCCTTAAATCTAAATTCTCAAAAAGTAGAAATTCTGTCTAACAAAAATAAGATTCATATTTTGACTTAGACATTAACCTATGACCGGTTTCTATTTCACAGTGAAATAAATACAGATTGAGTGAAGCATTTCAAAAGTGAATGCCAAACTTTGTACACCCAGCGGGTTACAGATGTAGGAACGTGGTGGCAGTGAGCCACTCTACTTCCTTCAAGATCCAAAAACATTTGGAAGGAAACCCCAAAGAGAACATGTGTTTCAGACATCTTTCCTTTCAGGGTTTCCTGCCTCTTGTTTGCCAGACTTCCTAGACCTCATTTCTTGTTAATAAAGTTCAACAAAAGGACCTTATGAAATGCTGATTTCATAGAGTATAACTTGCATTTAAGGAGTTTTTACTTAGTTGAAGCCTCCTGCCATCTGTACTTCCCTACTTCACAAAATCAAAGGAGCATGACTTGGAAAGTTACAAGTAGAAGGTGACATTTGAGGTGCTCACTATAAGAGACAGAGCCAAAACACTGACTCCAGACCAGAGACTGAATCTTAGACACTGCAGCAGCGAGGCTGTTTAACCCTGAGGACACTGCTGTACCTCTCAGAGTCTCTGTCTGCCTGAAGATGGAAAGTCACTAGGCAAGTGCTCATTAGGCACTGTTTGACACAATAGAAACACAGATAGGAAAAGTGGAACAGAAACTGAATTCCAGTTTTTTGGTGCTTTACAACATGAATAAAGGAAAATACATTTTTTAAGTTTCTTTAGTAGTAGGATTTCAAAATAGACAGCTTGAGACAGGCATTTAGTTCAGTAGTTCCACTGCTTGCCTTGCAAGCACAAGGTCCTGAGTTCAATTCCTGCTACACGCACAAAAAAAGACATTATAGAAGCAACTGAAAAATAATAAAGAGCTAAAACTAGCAATTCCAGTACTATAAAACATCTTGCAATCTTCAGAACTATTATTATTTTATCTTTCATGTAATTAGACACATAATCTTACCAATTAAAAGTCAGTAAACTTTGCTTAAAGCAACTAATATTTATTCTGTTGTATCAATCAGCTTTCCCACTGTTAAAACCAAATACTTTACACCCACATTTTTTTTTTTTTTTTTTTTTTTGGTACCAGGGATTGAACTCGATTGAACTCGGGTCCTTGCGCTTGCAAGGCAGGCCACCAAACTGCTGAGCTAAATCCCCGGCCAAGTTTTTTGGTTTTTTTTGTTTTTTTGTACACCCACAATTTAAAGGAGGAATTATTTATTTTTCTCATGGTTTCAGGGGATTTAGTCCCTGGTTAGCTGGCTCCAAAGGAGAAACATGATGGTGAAAGGGCAAAGCCTCTGAGTTCATTGTCCTCAGGAAGCAGAGCAGGGAAACAGTGCCAGAGAGGGAGGAGCTGGAGACCAGATACAGACCATTCATGTTTGATCCACCAGACATATTTGGAGATGTGCTTCACTAGTCGCCTGGGCCACTCCAAAGCAAATCAAGTTGACAATTTACATTAACCATAACATCCCACCCTTTGTCATCTTGACACCCATACACCTCTTCTTAAATCATACTTAATCTCCAAAGAAACACAGTATGAAACACATAATTACACCTCACGTGATATAACTATCCTGCATACAACCAAAACACAATTTTCCCTACCCCCAGAGTCTCTAGTCCAGCATTGCTAAAAAGCCTAAGTCAATGTCTTCTTTGAAACTAAAGGGTAACTCTTAGCTACAAACTCTTTAAAATTCAAAAAGCAAAACATGTAACACATGAGAAAATGAAATGGAAGATCAGAGCTGCAAAAACTGCAAAGACTTCAGCTAGCAGAATTATTGGAATAATGTTAACAATTGTGTTTAATGTGTATCAATAAATAAAAGAAGACTGAAAATACTAAAAGAGCAAGTTACATAATTCTAATATACAATAGAATAGGATAACTATTACTATTCCAGAAGATAGAATATCAGATTAAAGCAAGACTGAAACTCAGCAGGTTATGATTTTTTGAGCTCTGACTATCACTATAAATTTTCTAAAATCAGGTAACAGTATCCATGCCACAGCCTGAATATTGGGCTGCCTTGAAATTTCCTGGGCCAGTACCAGTACCCTTAATCCCAGTTTCCCAGAAAGTCTCAGGACATAGGCAAAATAAAGATTTTTTTTTTTTGCCACTGTGTAACATGCATGGCTCTACTTACAGCATTCTAGAACTTCTCTAGCTTACTTTTCCAAACTTTTCCATACTTGTCCAGCAAACAAGTTCCAAAGTCTTCTGAACCACATAATCAGCTATAGTCACAACAACAGGATCACTCCTGGTCCCATTCTTCTCTTAGTAAGCTTTCCTATTACTAAGACCAAATATCTGACACCCGTGACTTAAAGGAAGGGAGATTTATTTGGCTTATGGTTTCACAGAATTCAGTCCATGGTCAGATGACTTCAAAGTAGGAACAGTATGGCAGAGAGGTGTAGCAGCACAAAATGGCTAAGTTCACAGTGGCAGGAAAGTGAAGCAGGGCAGTGGGACCAGAGTAGAAAGGGCCAGAGACCAGATACAGTACCTAATGTCATGCCTTTGTGACTTACCTAGACACAGGCATAAGCAATTTTTGCTCATCTCCTAGGCAGTTCCCAAGTCAATCAAGTTGACAGTCCATCTTACCAACCTCAGCCACGGATATTTACTAAAGTTATTATATGTTCGGTTCTGTAAATATTTAATGAGGATCTAAATATTTTGGTGTTCTGTATAACAGAAAGAAAAATAAAATAGAACAGTGCCCTTTAATAAGAACTCAGTATAGCCATACATGAAAGATTTAATAAAGGGCTATTTCAATCTACTTAACACTCCTTGGTAAAAGGTTCTCCATAAAAGCAGAAAACAAGGATATGTCTACTAATCACTATAAAAGAACTGGGGTTGATCGAGAGAGAAAGGAAGATTTTACAAGAAAATAAACACAGTTTCTACATTTATAAAAAGTGAATGAGCATCCATCCTCAAATCAAATTGGAAAAATATAGAGCCAAGTTTTTTAGATAGTGGACATCAAAGCCAGGGCCTTCTCATTGGCCTGCATGCCCAGGCATTTCTATATTGTGTACTGAGACAGAGACTGAGTAAGCTGGCAAGTTGCCCAGGCTGGGCTTGAAATTGAGACCCTCCTGCCTTATCTTCCCACAGTGGTGGGATTACATGTGTATAACACCATGCCTGGCTCATAAAGCAGTTTTTATGATCCTCTAGCTTCTAATTATTTTCTTATAAGGTACATTAGATTAGATATGCAGATTAAGGTAGATTCATAGGTTGACATGTCTGCATACACATTCATACTACCTGTGTATGTTTGTAGGTCTAACTCTCCATGCTATCACTGTTTCAGCTCTGTATGTATCTTTAGTCCTCTTTTTCTGTCCAGGAATGCTTTCTAGCTATCCACATTTCCCCCGATCCTCAAATCCAGCTCTACCAATGAAGTCCACTATTCTCTAACTCCACATGCACTGGATTTAAAAAATGGAATAGATCTGTGCTTTGAATTGCAGGAAAAGAAAACAAATTAACAAAGGAATGGAAAAATTGCCTTTTAAAAGAACACAGGAATGAAGAATGGCAATGTAGCCTGGCTAGTTCCCTTGAGATAGAAGCTCTAGTGACTTCAATTTTCATAACATGCTATCTCCCCTCCCTGCAATGGCTCTCACCATGCTGCCTGTATCAGATTGCCAGATCCTAGACTTTCTTCTTTTTAGATCAGCAAGGCAATATCCATTCCTCCTTACAGCTGTGTTCCCTTCATCATGACCTACAATTATTTTTGTATATTTTGCTTGTTTGTTTGGCTGTGTTTTTGGTACTGGGAAGATATCACTCATGCCAAGAAAGTGTTCTACCACTATACCCCAGCCCTGTATTTATAAAATTTCTCAGAAAGCTTTTTTATTGTTACTTGACATTCATAGTGATTAATATATATAGAATTCTTCTTAAACAAAGTCTGCTTTTTTGATGTTTGAGGAATAGTATTCACCAACTGATATTTTTTTCTTAAAGAAGATACCATAAAAATTTACATAAAGTGGTGAGATGCAAGAGACAAAACTAAAAACACCCGGATAGTCATTTAAGACTGAATTCTGATCATTCAGAAAAAAAAGAGAGGTGTCCTAATTTGAAAATAGCAAATTCTGGTAACTTGAAGATAATCTCTTGCTAGCTGAATGATTACAATTAGGCTCTACAGCCAAGGATGTAGCTCAGTGGCACTGTGCCTGCCTGGCAAGCTCAATGTCCTGATTTCAATTCCCATCATTGAAAACTTATGCCAGTGTTCAGAAACATATTAAAATATTCACATCCAGTTCTCTATGCAGGATCACAAAAACAAATACTTTTCAACACACAAAGGTAATCTTAATGTCCGAGATATCCTAATACATGAGTAAAAAGAGCAAGTCCTACTTAAAGGCACTCGTGTGTATCTACATTCTCAGTGTAATAACAATCAAACAGATTATTTCCAGAGGTTACATTTGACTCACCTGGGGAGTAACATACATCTCCTGCCTAGGTTAACAGTAGTAAAAAGAACAGTAGGAACTAGGCTTCTCCATGCTGCTTTTGTTTACAAGGCTGCAAGTAGGCCTGACAATCACTTTCAAATCCAAATTTCTTTTCATGATTCTGACCATGTGTTGCATGCCGGTGACCGTTGATGTCACGGATCCATGCTGTCTAGCCTCCTGGTTGATTAGGGACACTATAAAGAAACAAAACTAAAAGCTAAACGTGGAAGAGGCAAGAAGAAAGGGTCAGGGAAAGTTACAGCACAGAGTGAACAAGCATAAAGAAAGCCAGAACACTTGGAAGAGCTCGGAGCTAATGAAAAAACAAGAAGATAGTGCAGGGGGAGGGAAGGATATAGAAGCCAGCTGGAATAGAGAGAGCAAGGCATACAGGAGCCAACTGAAATCCACGGACAGAAAGCAGTGAAGATTGAAGGGAACAGGACATTTATTGGAAACCAAGTTGTTTTTCCTTTTGTATCCAATGCAAATCTATTCCAGGCTGAACTCTAGCTTCAGCCTCAAAGAAGACAGAAGGAAAGTTGAAACGCACAGCCACCTTTTCTTCATGGGCAGCGGCCAGGAACTCTGGAAAGGCTGAAGAGAGGAAATGCAATAGGACAGCAGAGGCTCTGACAGCAGATTCAAGGAGAGAGCAGCTGCAGTAGCATCCTGCATAGTATTCACGATATCCAGGGAAGTAAAGTCAGAGACAATTGGACACCAGCTCAGAGCTGTTGAATTCAAAACTTCAGCACATGTAGTGAACCTTCAGGTGAGCCCTAAGGACAGGAAACGATGGGCTGGGATAGCAGTGAAAATAGGAGGCTCTCAGGAACTGCCTGAGCGCAAATCCTCCCTCAGCTTGTCAATAGCTGTTGACCACCAGCAAGTTTGTCAGCCTTTATGCTCCAAATTCACTCTTTAAATGCATTCTTGTAAAGATTCAATGAATTAGTGCGTGTAAAACAAGTAGGCAGCTCCTGGTACATGCCGAGTATTCAGTGGTGGTACCGTGTAGCTCTAAGTCTTTAAACTCTTATCAAAAGCATAGTTTAACTAATTAAAAATAAAATATGAGGAAGAGGCAAAATGGTTCCACCTTTTGTAAAATACCAAGGAACACAATTCCTAATGGCACAGAAATCAAGCCACCAGCCTCCTGGTTTCTATCCCTGGCATGCACAATCTGGAAAGCTTTAGTTTTCACCAGTCCATGTAAGTCAATTCAAATCAAAGGGGGCTCTGTGCTCTAGAGTTCTCAGGCTAGAGAAATGAAGATTCCCTTGAAAAGTGATAAATCTAGTACACAGCTGCTGCTGAGACAAACTCACAGCGACCATAAAACCACTGAGGCTCACTCATTAGGTAACCTAATTTCACAGTTCTGTTCTCTTAAGTTCCATCTCCAATATCATATCCAGCAATCACCTTGTCCTTCCACAGAACTTTGCATAGTTCTGTTTTTCCCCTTAGGCTAAGATTTAATTCCAGATTTCTTTTCATGTTTCTAACTAGAAACTTAGCTCTGTAGTTCGCAAGCTTCACTATACTCTCCTCAGCTTTTTTACTGAATATTCCTAGTATCTCCTAAAATTTAACGAGACTCCAACGACCCTTTTGGAGAACACTTCACATAAAAAGACTGTTCAGAAGCCTGTTATTTGCTTATGGACCTGAAGAATGCTACCTTTAATTTCTATTACTTGTTGAAGACTCTTACTTGCTCTACAATATCCCCTACATATTTTGGCTATATTGTGCTTTACCCCAGACTGATGACTTGTACCCTTCACAACTCAAGGCCATCAGAACACAGCTCACAGTGGTTCCATTAATTCCCAGTACCAACATTATCCCACAGTGTATTCAATGCCCTGGTGGGCTTTCCAGCAGACATTTGTTTTCCAGTAAAATTCACCGGTGTTTTATTCTGTTTCGGCCATTTATTCACATGATTATGAAATGGACTTAATATTTATGATGACTCACTTATTAAAACCCTGACCACAAACATATATCCTTTCAGTTTTCTAACTTTGTTGTGTCTATGATGAAATCTTGGGCCTCATGTTAGTATTACACCAACACACTACTGTCACCTATGCTATCAGATGTCTTACAACAGATGGCAAGGAGCCCAGCACTTGCTGTTTGAAGAATTGTGGTGTACTAATAAAATAGTAGATCTGAAGAGGAGTGAGTCCCTTCTTTCAAGTACATCTTTTGCTCCAAACAACAGTACTGACTGTAAAATACTTTCAAAAACTATAAATAGTCTAAAAGATAAAAAATGTGAGTTACTCAAAGTGATAGAAATGCCAGAAGACAATGAACATCTCAATTTTTTTTTTTTTTTGTACCAGGGATCAAAAGCAGAATCTTGCACTTGAGAGGCAGGCAGTGGAATCACTGAGCTAAATCTCTGGCTGAAGCATACCAAGATTTATACACATGTAATTAGATCTAAATTTGCCAAATTATAGTGATTCATCAGATGAGCAGCTTCTAAGAGATACATTTAAAGCAAAATAATAGATAAATGCCCATGCCAAAGATAGTAAAAACATAGTATGAATTTATTCATTTATGTATTTACTTAATTTTAGCTAGGCCAGCATATATATGTAAAAACATGTACAAACATATTCATATAATAAGATTAGCAATAAGATAAGCCTACAACATGTTTGGAATAAACTCCTAAAAGGAAGAAAGTTAGAGAAAGAGAAAACAGAATGACAGAGATTAAAAAGAAAGAATGAATCAGGAATGAAAATAAGCAAAGCAAAAATCAAAAAAGATTTAAAATGCTGATCAGTGAATGCTACATCACTGATAGGAAGAAGTTCTGGTGTAACCACAGCACCGTAGGGTGGCCATCAATAACAATAATGTTCGCACATATAAAAAGGTAGAAGAAAGGATTTTAAAAGTTTCTTTTCATATTTGAGGAGACAGATATATTTAACTTTATTTTAACATAATACAGCATATCAAACGTCAAATGGAACAAATATTTGAGTTCAAATTCCACTACAGAAGAGAGATCCTGGTAAAAAACTTAGATTCATTGTAACATAATACAGCATATCAAACGTCAAATGGAACAAATATTTGAGTTCAAATTCCACTACAGAAGAGAGATCCTGGTAAAAAACTTAGATTCATCTTGGAAACAACCTATTTGCCCATCCGTTGGAAACTGGATAAAGAAGTTGTGGTTTTTCTATAAAATGGAATATTACTCAGCCATAAAGAGCGAGAGAATAGATTCATTCATAGGAAAATGGATACATATTGAAGATATACTCCTAAGTGAAATAAATAAGTCCCACACGTGTAAATACCGAATAGTTTCCCTGGTGTGAATATTCTGCAACAATGCATAAGATTCTAATAAGATTACTGACATTTAGAAATGGGAGGAAAGGAGCTAAAGGTGTAGGGAAGGTGTGATACGTAGGGGAAGAACAAAAAGGTAAAAGAAAAAAATGTGAGAGAATGAAAAGATGAAAATAAAGTGTTTGTAGATGGGGAGGGGAGGAGGGGTGAAGGGAGGGCAGAGGTAAGGGGAAAAAAATGAGAATCAAGACTTGCCATGTAAAGGTACATGATCCCAACAATGAATGTAACTGTACTATATCCCTAAATGTACCAATAAACTCAATAAAAAAAAAAAAAAAGAAAAACTTAGATTCAGTTAAGACTTCTGAAGGGCCACAAGACAAAAAATCAGGATGGAAAGGAAAGGTTAAGGCCTCAGCAACAAAACAGAGTCAACTACACACAGCTATGTAAGCACCTGATGGGCTCAAGGTAAGTAATCTCTACACTGAACATCTGCCAAAAATAAAAGAAATCCTTTCTTGCAAGCAATAGTATAACACATCTAGAACCTCGAACTATGTCATAGTTCATTCTAAACATCCAACATACAATCTAAAGACAGAACACATGAACAGACTGACTGGAGATGTGGAATACTGAAGTCACCAGACATAGCATTTAAATTAACACTGATAAATCATTAAGAATTCATAAGACAGAGACTTATGACATAGAAGTAAACCTAACTGAAAAATCACATAGAAATTCTTTATCTCAAAACCATATTAACAATTGAATTAGATCGGCATACAGTAGACAAAGCTAAAGAGTACATTAGTAATACATGAGAAGAAAATATTCAGACAACGTGGAGAGCAAAGCAAGGGTGAAAAATACAGAAAGGAATGTAAGAAAGCCAATAAGCACTAAGTTATAGGTCTAGGAATTGCTACAAACCATTAGCTAGACAAAAAAGTAGAAAATTATGTCTAGACAAACTAAGGTATATGATTGGAAATTGAAAAAAGGAAGAAACTGAAAGACAAAATATTATATATAAAAATGAAGCAAAAAGCTAATTTTATCTTTTTAGCTTTCTATTGCTTTCTATTGAGAAATCTGCACTCTGTTTATTTTTCCTTTTTTTATTAGTGTCTGTATGTAATACATAATAATTATATTCATCCTAGGAAATTAAAACGCATGACACATACATGTGTTTTAATTATACTGCTGTCATGCATTTTAATTAAACACATAATCAATGTTCATTTATAGTTATGAACAGTATAGATGTGTCTGTGTATAAATAATACATGTGTGTATAATATCTAATAAACTCAAACTGAAAAAAGTCACCCCTGAAAAATTGTAGTATAGAAAATATCAAAGTAAATACTTCTAGCTGAAATAAAACAATCTCAGATGTAAATGAAGAGCAAAGGAAAGGTAAAAATATTGTATAAATATAAACAGATACTGACTGAACATATATCACAATAAAAAACAAGCATCACAAGATGGCAACGAAGTTAGTGCTATATTTCCATTTTCAGTAAGTTACACTTGAACTAGTCTATGTCACAGTTTAATCAAAATTGTATGTTGGTATTTTGTAGTTAGCAAGTAACAGGCCAATGTGAAAGAAAAAGAATCATAAAAATACGTTATTTCAAAAGAAGCTAGAAAAGTAGAAAAAGGGGCAATACAAACAATATGTATACTAAATAAATAGAAAACAGATAGTGAGATAGTGGCTTGCTTTTTTCCTTAAGACTGATTTCCACTCATCCTAAGCCATGTGATACATGTACTAAGGAGCTTCATGATTAAAACTATAAGAGAATAGCTGTATATTTCATCAATTTCATGAAGAAATATGATATATTTAGGTTAAATTTC